GCGCCCCTCGCGGGCCACTGCGGGGGCACGCAGGCCGTGCCTGACTGTCCCTGCCCAGCCTCACGTAGCCCTGCAGCGAGCGGCGGCCCCGGCGCCTGTTTCTGCGCTCCATTTTGGGAGGATTTGCTACTTCATGGGCAGTTAGAGTTTTTCAGGGGAGCAAAAACTTCACACTTTTGAGGGCGTGTAAATAGCAGTGGTCAGTAAGGTGGATTTGGAGACCAGCAGCTCTGATCAGACTGTATGAGTCTTTTGTATATATAGGGGGGGGGAAGGAAAATAAATGACTGACAACAGTGAAAATGGTGATTTTTTAAAGGGGTTGATTACATTTCTCTCCGTAAAGGGGTACGTAGGGGAAAGGTCCTTCAGGACACCTTTTCTTTCATCTCAGCTGATTCCTGGTCCCTCTCCCTGGGTACTTCATTGAGGCCCTTGCTGGACGTGCAAGTTCTGGGAGTGCGAGAGGCTGCTCACAGCCTGACCCCAATGGGCTGTCTCAGCACAGCAAGCGTGCCGGTGTGTGACTCTGGAGGTGACTAGAGGTGTAAACCTACCCTGCAGTGCCGTAGCGTGCAGTTCATCTCTACACTGTCACAGAAGCCAGAGCAAAGATGAAAAAAGGGCAGTCTGCATCTTCCCTCCCCCCTTCTGAAGCTATTCATGAGTTTTTTCCTCTTGGTTGCTTGAATGGAATTCCTCTTAGTGTACATGAACCGTAGATAGGTTGAGAATGAATATATGCCTTGACTTGAAAAAGTGCACTCAAGCCTGTGTTCCTGAGAAAGCATAACTTCCTCTGGAACTGTTTTGTATTTGAAAAGGTATTGTACACATTTATTTTCCTATGAAAATGTTGCAGGGTCAAACCTGTAAGTGTCCAAATAAATGTGGAGGGACATGGTCTACAGCTACACTGCACTTGGCTTTCATTTGTTTCAAGACTTCTCTTAGTTTCACTTCTGATCCTTAAGCCATCCCTATAATTCCTTGGAAATGGTGAGTGTTCCTGGTGCACAGTAGGTGCAAAATATGAAAGATGGATTAAGCAGACAGGATTCCTTCCTCCTTCCCCTATCTGTTACTTGGAATTTGAACAAGTATTGTACATATCTCTAAAGCAAAATCCATAATGTTGGCAGCTACTCTGTATTCTCTGTGTTTAGAGTTACATAAATTAAGCAGGACAAATATTTAACTGTGGAGTTGAGATTTAATGGCAGATCCTGTGTTAAGAATTAGTCTTATGTTTCTGTAAGAAACTTCATAGAATCATAGAATCATAGAATGCTTAGGGTTGGAAGGGACCTCTAGAGATCATCTATTCCAACCCCTCTGCACACGCAGGGTCACCTAGAGCACGTGGCACAGGGCTGCATCCAAGTGGGTTTTGAAGCTCTCCAGAGAAGGAAACTCCACAACCTCTCTGGGCAGCCTGTTCCAGTGCTCTGTCACCCTCACTGTTAAGAAATTTTTCCTTAAGTTCCTGTGGAACTTTTGGTGCTTCAGTTTGTGGCCATTACCTCTAGTCCTATCAGTGGCCACCACTGAAAAGAGACCAGCACCATCCTCTGCACTCCCTTGAGGTACTTGTAGACACTGCTCAGGTCCTCTCTCAGCCTTCTCTTCTCCAGGCTGAACAGGCCCAGCTCCCTCAGCCTCTCCTCATAGGGCAGATGTTCCAGGCCCCTGATCATCCTTGTGGCCCTGCGCTGGACTCTCTCCAGCAGCTCCACATCCCTCTTGTCCTGTGGAGCCCAGAACTGGACACAGTACTCCAGATGCGGCCTCACCAGGGCTGAGTAGAGGGGCAGGATCACCTCCCTC